TTATTTAATATATATTATATATTTATTTATAAATTAAACAAATAATTAATAATATTATTTTAATTTATTTTTTATAAGATAGAAATGGCAGAAGAAAGACAACCTACCTCTGAACATATTAAAGAAAAATATAAAACACCACCTCCTACAGTTATTGAAAGTGAAGAGGATAAAGAAAAAAGACAATGAAATAAAAGAGCTGCTAAAAAAAGATATTATGATAAACTAAAAAAACAAGCTGAAGAACAAGGACCTTCAACTAGAACAAGATCTAAAATTTCTCCAATATCATCAAGAACAAGATCACAAACAAGTTCAAAAGAAGATGCTAGACTAAGACAAAAAAGACATAGAGCTTCTATAGATACAGATAAAAAATAAAAAATAAAAAAAAAAGATAGAGAAAATAAAAAAAAGATATAAAAAGAAGAATTAACCCAATTTTTCAAAATAGGACTTTGTAGTTTAGATAAATATGAAAAGAAGATAAAGAAAAAAAAAGAACAATAGTGATAGTAATAGTAATGATAATAGTAATGATAATAATAATAATAATAATAATAAAGATGATAGGGATAATAATAAAGATAAAGATGATAATAAAAATAATAATAGTAATGAGGATAATAATAAAAATGATGATGGAAATGATGATAGAGATAATGATAGAGATGATGATAGAAATGATAATGATAGAGATGATGATGATGACGATGATGATGATAATGATGATAATGATAATGATAATGATGATGATGATGATGATGATGATGATAATGATGATGATGATGATGATGATAATGATAGAGATGATGATGATAATAGTGATAATAATGATAATAATAATATTAAAAGACATAGATTAGAAAAAATGAATATTATTTGTAAACATTGTTTTGCTTTAAAATGGAAAGAAGAAAAAAGAAGATTTTGTTGTTTAAATGGACAAATCCAATTAGCACAACTTAAACCACCACCACCAGCAATTGAAATTTTACTTACAGAAGAAGATTCAGAATCTAATAAACCTTTTGTTTCTAAAATAATAGCATATAATCAAATATTTGCTTTTATATCAATTAGTAGTACAATATTAGATAAAAAACTTGCCAATGCTAAAAAAGGAGTTTATACTTATAAAATTCGAGGACAACATTATCATCAACATGGTTTTTTTAATACCTAAAAAACTTAAAAGAAAAGAACCTGAACCAAAACTTGCTTAAATATATTTTTATAATGGTGATAATTTCGATAGCCAACTTAATAGAAAACATGAAATAATGAATAAAAATAAACCATTAAATAAGGAAATATTAAGTGAACTTCAATTTGAATTGTTTAATAATAATCTATTTGTTCAAATATTTAGATATGCAAGAACTGAGGAAAAAAGTTTAAATACAGAAGTATTATATATAGCAATACATAATATTTATGATAAAGATATGAGAACTTATAATGCACCAAAAGCAGATGAAGTAGCTATAATATATGGTTATGAAAATGATGAAGAGAAACCAAATGAAAGAGATATTATTATTAAAAGAAATAATAATACATTAATAAGAATATTAGAATTACATGGTGCTTATGATCCTTTACAATATCCAATGTCATTTCCATTTGGAGAATATGGTTGGCATAAAGGTATATTAAGAGCAAATGTTCAACAAAAAGAAATTAAACAAAATAAAGATGAAGATATTGATTGATATACAAGAAGAATTTCTTAAAATAATTGAAGAAGAAGAAATTGTTGACCAATTTGAAGAAGATGAAGATCAAATTGCTAATCAAGTTGCTACAAATATTATTAAAGATTTTAATTCAAATTTAACTGCAAGTATAACTAAAGATCAATTAAGCGAATTTTGGTGACAAAGAATTAATAATTATATACAAGAGGCTAAAGAAAATATTCAACAAAAAGAAATTATTGAAGTTGATAACTCTTCAAAAACAATGTCTGTTGAATTTGACAATTTATTACAAAGAAGTTTAGGTTTATCAGGTGTTTTTGATGATATAGCTTTTAAATCCTCTACAAATATGAGTATTAGTGAACTTAGTGAAGAAAAAATTATAGAAGAAGAAATTGAATCTCAAACTGAATTAGAAAAGATAATATTGAATCTCAAACTGAATCAGAAAAAGATGATAATAATAGTAATATATCTAAAAATCAGCAGAAAAAAACAGATAAAGGAAAATATAAAGAAATTGTTGAATCTAAAAATAATGATAGTGATACTGATAATAATGATGATGATGATAATAATACTACTTCTGAATCTGAACAATCTGAACAATCTGATAAAGAAGATTTAGAATCATCAAATATTCAACAAAAAAAAAAAAGAAATACAGTAACTATTAGAGAG